ATCAAACGCCTTCTCGTAATCTATGAAGGCTATGTATAGTGGTTGGGTATATTCTGAGCATTTCTCTATTACCTGATTGATAGTATGAATGTGGTCGATTGTTGAGTAGCCTGTTTGAAATCCTGCTTGTTCCTTTGGTTGATTGAGTTCTAATGTTTTCTTCACTCTGTTAGCAATCACCTTTGTAAATAGCTTGTATACTGCAGAGAGCAAGCTAATCGGCCTGTAATTCTTCAAGTCCTTGTCATCTCCTTTCTTATGTATTAAGATGATGTTAGCGTTCTTCCAAGACTCTGGTACTCTTCCCGTCAAAAGACACCTCGTAAACAGGGTGGCTAGTTTTCTAACACAATCTGTCCTCCATCTTTCAGCAGATCTGATGTTACCTGATCCTCACCAGCAGCTTTGTCTCTTTTCATGCTCTCCAAAGCTTTTCTGACTTCTTCTATCATTACTGGTGGGATGTCATCTGGGTTACTGCTAGTTCTTATAGTATTAAAGTTGTGGTTGTCCCAACAACTGTACAGATTTGTAAAACTCCTCCGCTATTTTAACTATCCTATTCATATTGGTAGTTATTTGCTTCTTTGTCCCTTAGTGCATACATCCGATTTTTGCCTATCCCAAGTTTCCTCTTCACTGCTTTGGCGCTTCCTCCGTTTTTCAGAGCGTGTTCAATTCTCTCCGTGTTATACCTTTTTACATCGGATACCTTACGCCTATTATTCAACTTCGAAAGCTCTGCCAGTTCTATTTTGTCTGTTGTACTGAGACTTTCGTGAATTGACGCTTCCGCTTCTTAACGAGATTCTTCGTTTCCTGGGTAAGCTTGCCAGTGTCCTGTATAACTACCCTGCCTCCAACTTACACTGCACACTCCGTAATGATACTCGTCAGATTATCATTCATTGTATCTACGCTAAGTTTGTTTCCTCGCCAAGAGCCGAGTACCTGTTCTGAAGCGAGACTCTGAGTTCCTGTACTTTCCCTCTCACTGCTAGCTCATTGATTGGCTTCTTGCGTATCAGTTCCTGTCGTTCCTTTCTCAAGTCTAGGCGAATTCAAGACCGTACCATTCTATGGTCACTGCATCGTACCTTGCCTACCACTTCCACATCCTGCACGATGCCTGGGTGTGCACTCATTATAAAGTCCTATTTCGTTCTCATTTTAGCCATTAGGGCTCCTCTATGTCCACTTGCGGTTCCTGGTTTTCGGTAGAAGGTATTCAAAATCCGTAAATTATTGCGTTCTGCGAATTCTAATAGTAGCTCTCCTCTGGCGTTTCTAGTACCGATGCCATAATCTCCTACTGCATGGTCTCCAGCCTGCTTCTTCCCTAACTTTGCATTAAAACAATAATATATTTGGTTACAACTTATCAAAAGGGTCAGCTCCATGCACAGCCATCGTCTTTTGCCCCAAAGAGACCTTTTCATGCACTACTTCATCCAAAACCGCCTTCTCGTTATCGTCACGTCGAGCACTTGTGAAGTGTTACATATATTCGTCTTTACCACTTAGGACCTTAGTTAAGTTTTCTACAGGTGTAAACATTCAATGTCCTGGTAAATTTCACCCACAGATTCTGGTGTTACTGTCCACTAAGCGAAATACTTTTTAGTAGTAGCAACGACCTTTCTATATGCCCATTATCTACATCAGCCAAGAAAAGTGTTTGACGTTCGAGCAAAGACCAGCTCGCACGACTGCCTTTTGTGGGTAAAAACGGGGGGCGCTATGATATTGTGGGTAGAGCTTACAATATATTGTCACGGGGTCGTGACGTGGCCGAAGACAGGAGACTTCGTGTTGGGATTTAACTGTTTATTTGGGCGAACCTGTGCCCGGTAAACGAAAGACCGATTACAGCAGCAGTCTCGCACAGATACCAGTCTCGGACTGATAGCGGCGAACGGAGCGTCGGCCTTCGATCAACACTGACAAGCGGCGAAGCGCGTCGCCATTTATACTCTTGTCGTCGAATGTTCTGGCGTTATCGCTGGCGGTGGCGTAGGTTCCAGAACAATCTGTACCGTTCGCACAGTGGGCGTGATCTTATCGAAATGATCTACTACAGTCCGGAACCTTCTCAAAAACTGCAGGCGCGGTTTGCGCTGAGAATCGTGTGGTGTTTTGGACGATAACAAAAACTTGGGAAATGGAACGTGGCATTGCCCTCTGAAAAAGGCATCGTCCCGATGTTTTAACTAAAGATGAAGGTACAATAATAATGCAAGAAAGTACAATGAATAAATTACGATACAACAATTATACAAAAAAACACTGTTTCAGTTTGTTAACGCGCTGAAACGGCTTGAGGAGCGCGACATGGATGACTTCAGGTCGCGATCGGCGTCGTTGAGAGTTCGTGATGCCGTCGGGGACAACCTCGTAATCAAGTGGGCCGAGACTTCGAACCACCCTGTACGGTCCGAAGTACCGTCGCAGAAGCTTTTCACTTGTTCCACGTCGGCGTATCGGCGTCCACACCCAAACACGTTCACCGGGCTGGTATTCCACGAAGCGTCGTCGAAGGTTGTAACGGTGGCTCGCTCGTCTGTTGATTCTTGATACGGAGACGCACAAGTTGTCGGGCTTCTTCGGCGCGTTGAAGGTACTTGCTCACATCGAGGTTTTCTCGTCGGTGACGTTGGGTAACATGGCATTGAGCGTCGTTGCCGGGCTCCTTCCGTAGACCAATTTGTATGGAGATATCTGCGTCGTCTCCTGCACCGCCGTGTTGTATGCGAAGGTCACATACGGAAGAATGGCGTCCCACGTCTTGTGTTCGACATCGACGTACATTGACAGCATGTCGGCGATCGTCTTGTTAAGCCGCTCGGTGAGGCCGTTGGTCTGTGGGTGGTACGCTGTCGTCCGGCGGTGGTTTGTTTGGCTGTATGCCAAGATCGCTTGAGTTAAGTCGGCAGTAAATGCCGTTCCTCTGTAGGTGATAAGCACCTCCTGGGCACCGTGACGTAGGACGATATTTTCGACGAAGAACTTAGCTACCTATGCACTGCCTTTTGGCAGGGCTTTTGTCTCGGCGTTGCGGGTGAGGTAGCCGGTAGCTACCACGATCCACTTGTTTCCGAAAGCCGACGTCGGGAACGGCCCAGTAGGTCCATACCAATCTGCTGGAAAGGTCGGCAAGGTGTATCAATTGGCTGCAGAAGTTCCGCTGGCCTTGTCGGCGGTGTCTTGCGTCGCTGACAGTCCCGGCATGTCCACATAACGAGTGACGTCGGTGGTAAGACGTGGCCAGTAGTACCTTTCTTGTATCCTCGCGAGCGTGCGAGAAACACCGAGGTGCCCTGCCGTCGGATCGTCGTGCAGGGTCTGCAGGAGTTCTGGTCGCAGAACTGAAGGCACCACAAGGAGGTACTTAGCTCGAAGCGGTGAAAAGTTTTTCTTTTGTGGAAGACCGTTTCGTAGAAAGAACGACGCAAGTGCGCGCTTGAATACCTTCGGTACTTCGGCGGTCCTGCCTTGGAGGTATTCTATAAGGGCCTTATGTTTCGGGTCGGCCCGCTGTCGTTCAGCGAAGTCGTCGGTAGTTATCGTTCCCAAGAAGTAGTCGTCATCCGGGTCGTCGGGTAGCGGTTGGTCGACAGGCGCACGAGAGAGACCGTCGGCGTCGGAGTGTTTTTTGCCGGACTTGTAAATGACAGTAATGACATATTCTTGAAGTCTCAGGCTCCATCGTGCGAGGCGACCTGAAGGGTCCTTCAAGGTGGCTAGCCAACACAAGGCGTGGTGGTCGCTCACAACTTTGAAGGGCCTGCCGTAGAGGTAGGGGCGAAATTTCGACGTAGCCCAGATGATGGCGAGGCACTCCTTTTCTGTTGTGGAATAATTTGATTCTGCTTTGGATAGCGATCGGCTGGCGTAACTAATAACCCTTTCAAGTCCGTCAGCCCTCTGCACAAGAACGGCGCCACGACCTCGCTGCTTGCGTCAGTATGTAATTTCTGTCTCGGCGAATTCGTCAAAGTGGGCAAGTAACGGAGGCGTCTGGAGGCGATGCTTAAGCTCCTGGAAAGCGTGTTCCTGTGGCATTTCCCACTTGAACTCCACGTCGGCCTTGGTAAGGTTAGTGAGAGGTGCAGTTTTCTTCCATGTACCGGACGCCTACGTCAAGCCGTGAACCCAGCCCACGCCGTGAAGACACCGACGCAGCAACGAGCAGCGAGTTAGCCGCAGGCAACAAGGTCTGCCACCGGAGTACGGGCTTTTACTGGACAAGGCTCGGAAAACCAAGACGTTGACGTTGACCACGGCGACCATGTCAACGCCGGTTCTACCCAGCACCTCCACCAGATGTCACGGGGTCGTGACGTGGCCGAAGACAGGAGACTTCGTGTTGGGATTTCACTGTTTATTTGGGCGAACCTGTGCCCGGTAAACGGAAAGTCCAGTTACAGCAGCAGTCTTGCACAGATAGCAGTCTCGAACTGATAGCGGCGAACGGAGCGTCGGCCTTCGATCAACAACTGACAAGTGGCGAAGCGCGTCGGCATTTATACACTTGCCGTCGAATGTTCTAGCGTTATCGCTGGCGGTGGCGTAGGTTCCAGAACAATCTGTAGCCTTCGCACAGTGGTCGTGATCTTATCGAAATGATCTAGTACAGTGCGGAACCTTCTCGAAAACTGCAGGCGCAGTTTGCGCTGAGAATCGTTTGGTGTTTTGGGACGATAACGAACACTTGGAAAATGGAACGTGCAATATCCTATATTGCATCCGAGTGTATATTGGAACGCCTAGAACATTGCTTGCGCGATATTGCCTCACGAACCTCTGCAAAAGAAGTTATTATTACCAATCTACTAGAGAGGAAAAAAAAGCATTTACTTCATGTGACTGCTCAAACGTTTCATCTTCAAGCTTAGCAATTCGTGTTTAGTTTACCCGAAGGATATCTTACATACCTTCTTGCAAAACGATGATCTATCATCGCGATTTAAAATGCAGACGAACAAAGTTAAAAACTACACCTTATTTATATCAGCCACATAGTCCATCTTCGGAACAGCTTTTCCACCTCTCCTTGTTATTCGCGTGTCAGGTGTCTGTGTAGTTGTAGTGAAGTTTTCTTCAGAGCTATACTCATCATAGTCTGTCACATAGTCGATTTCAGCCGGCACTGATACTAACGAAGGAAGTACCGTGAACAGCAACAACAGGCGCATGGCTTTTGTGCTCACTGGGAAAGAAATACAGCATATGTACTCACATTTTAAATATACTCTCGTGCAGTTAGTTTTTTATTCATAGGCGCTGTTCTTCTTGAAATTAACTTCTGGTTGTCATTTGGCATCATATTTAACTGCCTTTTTCATTATTTTTTATGAAACTTTATTTCGCATTTGTGTTGGTAGACACGTGGATGAAGGTCAAAAAGCACAAGCCTCACAGCGTTTAGGGCCAAGGCAAGGAGCAAAAGAAATGTTAAGAACTACAATGAAGCCTTTTCAGAGAAGTATGTTTTAAATAGTTATATTTTCACTCAAGAGATGGCCTGTTTGCCTTATGCTAATCTAATCAAAGAAGATAAGGAAGCGAGATGTGCATATTTTTGAGACACATACCCCTACCTCTCGAAATTATAGCATTTTACATGCGACTCATTTCTTTGCGTACTACAGACACTCTTAGCGTGTCTATTTACATATATACTTCTTTTATTTATCTATTCAGCCACCTACGTCTTGGTGCTCTCGTGATCACCTGCTTTAACTTAGTAAACCAAAAATAGTAGAGAAGATAGGATAATCTGACAAGTATAACTAGTTGGTGATTACTTGAATAATGTGACAATCCGATCGCGTACGTAGTCAAATCCTTTCTACCAGACACGTGTAGTACATTCCTGTATACTACGTGAGCGTATGTTCAACAGGTATGCGGGTATGTTCAACAGGTGATTGACAGTTTTATATCTACCCAGGAACGGCGAGAACAAACATTGGTCATTTCAATTCGAGAGCAATAAGGAAAAGCCCGACGAATGCAAACAATAAGTGTCAGGATCCCAGCAGAAATCGAACCAACACAAATCGCTTCTGTGTGACAGTCAAGTATCTATCACAGAGCCTCACCAGGTCTTGAAACTGGTTTTGAGAAAAAATCACGCTGGGTTATGTTGTTGATACTCCAATTGTGCTTGCGGTGCTGGTTATTTGACTTAATAAACACATGAAAGTGCAGTTGGAAAGGAAACTGATAGGTCTGATAGGTGTAACCTTAGAGACATGACGTGACGCGAATGGAGGATGAAGATATATCACTGGTGCAAACATGATAATCGTGACATATGTGTTTTATGTAAGACCATGACTATGCCACGCTTATGATGCGCGTGCGGCCGTTATGCTAGCTCACATATACCAAATTTGGCATACCGTGACGTGAATTGACGACGAAGGTAAATGACACGTTCAAACATGATAATCATACGTGTCATGTGTGACATACTTTACATGCCTATCACTGCTGGTGCTGGTATTTGAAACGTTAGTGGTGCCGTCGTTATGCGACTCTAAATTTTGCAGACTGCGGGGAGGCATGCTGCGCCGTGGCTGTCATCAGAGGTGCTAAGCATCACAGAAGACGCATCTTTCCGCTCCGTGAGCCGGCTTCACTGCAAACCTGCGTTGTTGGCCCTGCCATCTACCAGTGCTGCCCAAAAACTTTGACTTCCTATCGCTGGCATCGCGGGGGGCGGTGCTGCCGCGTCTACCGGAGCGAGGATCATTCTGGCAGCGGCAGCAGCGGCGTGTGAACGCTACCTGATCAACTCTTCTACAATTTTGCAGGTTGGTTTGGCGGCTTATGCCGACCACAACTTCGCCTAAATTGCATGCCGTTGCTGTCGCTGCCCCAAGTGTGCTGTCACAAGTGTGCTACCTCTCTGTTTGCTAGCAGTGCTTTGAAGTCGTTTTCTACACTTCTCAAAGTTCTTCTCGCGCTGCCGGTGTCCCTCAGCGAGGTATGGGGGAGCGAAATGCTAGCGGCCTTCAGGACGTGACGAAGGCGCTTGCTGAAAAGCAACCAAACAGTATTAAGGAGGTCGTAAAGGTTTTGGGCGATTTGCTAGCCAAGCTTGACGTCTTTTCGAGTGACGTAAAAAATGAGGTAGCAAAGGTGGCAACTTCCAATGCGGAAATTCGTACCGAGCTGGGCGATATTCACAAATCTATGAAATTCATGATCCACTGCTTTGAGAACTTCAAAAAAAGATGTCGATGGTTTTCGTCGTGAGATTGCTGAAGTAAAGACCCGAAATGCAGAATGCTGCAAACAAAATCAGGAGTTAAGGAAGGAGCTTGCTGTGGCTAGAAAAGAATTGGTTGATCTTAAGCAGTATAGCCGGAATATGAACGTGGAAATTCAAGGTCTACCGGTGGCGCCTAACGAAGACTTGGAGACAGTCGTTGAAGACATTGCTAAGTGCCTTGAAGTCGAAGTTAGCAAAGACGACATTGACGTCGCTCATCGGGTGCCAACGAAAAAAAAGGATCAGTTCAATGTAATAGTCAAATTTCGAACAAGACGTGCACGAGACAGTTTGCTCGAAGCCTCTAGAAAAAAGAAACTGCAGACGGGTCTTCTCGGTTTTGACCGTGACCTCCCGCTCTACTTAAATGAGCACCTTTGTGTTGAAAACAAAATACTGCTGGGCAAGGCTCGTCAGGCGAAGCGCGATAAACACTGGAAGTTTGTTTGGGTATCCCAGGGCAGAATTCTCATGCGGAAGGCAGAAAAGTCACCTGTACTGCATATCACCTGCGATGCCGACTTTGCCAAAGTGGTTTAAACTGATCCTGAAATATGTTAGATGGCTTGCCCTTTTCCGATCGCATCAGAGCTTGTAGAGAAAAACTGCATTTGTCAAACCTGCCTTTGCTAGTCTTGTGACTTGCGTGAAAACTGTAACATCACCCCGGTGAAATACGCAAAAATTGAATCTGTTCTTTGTATGCAGATAATTTCTGAACATGTGAAGGGCGCTGTAATACGGTCGGTTCCTTCGTTATCCCAATTATTCTGTGAATCATGCCACACCTTTGCTTTAGAATTGAGCTCTGTTTTTTGTGTTCCTTTTCGGTTTTTTGCATATATACGCCCCCTAATATTCCTGCTTATGATGTGTAGCCTGGTCTGTGTGTCAAGTACATATGATAAAGCACGACAACCACTCGCTGTTCAAGAGCAAGTAAGACAAAGAATGCTTCGGCTAACGGAAACTCTCAACAATAATGGCCACAGTTAAGTACGACACCTTTGATCAATTGAAAAATCAACCAATCCTGTGTGACACATTTTTTCGCTGTTTCCACCTCAACGTGCAATCGGCCGTTAATAAGTCGGCAACCCTCGAACAGCTGTTTAATGAGCTTGACATGATGGATGTTTTTATGTTAACTGAATCTTGGTATACCTGTCCGGAACAAGTTATTCAGCTTCCAAATTATAACTCTTATTTTTTTAATAGAACAGTTGGTGCCGGTGGTGGAGTTTGTGTCCTGGTTAAAAAATTAAGTGCTTGTGACCCCTTGCTTGAATTTTGTGAACTTACACCTGATTATGAATTTTTTGTACACTATCGGGCTGCATGGTTATTGCGGTTTGTTACCGTCCTCCTGCTGGTCGTATCATGAATTTTCTTTCATTTTTAGATAAATTTTTTAATGATGTAAATCTCAAAAAATATCACGTGGTGTTAGGAGGTGATTTTATTATAAATTTGCTTTCTGATAGTAAAGTTACCAGAGATTTTCTTGCAGTTATTTCAGCCAATGGCTGCACCAATTCCGTTACTAAACCAACAAGAATTACACCTAAACCGAATCTCTTATTGACCTTTTTATTACAAACTTTGATGAGAATCGTTATTTAAGTTCCGTGGTTGGCTACGGTATTAGCGACCACTTTCCAGTTCTATTCGCAGTTAAAACACAAGTAAACAAGACGGTGCCGAGGCGGCGTCTAGTACAACGCGTTACCGGAAATGGACTCGCGGCCTTTAGAGAGGCAGTTGCTTGTGTGAATTGGGCTCACGTCGTCGCCATGACAGATGCAAACGTCGCATACAACACTTTTTTTTTGGAAAATTTGTAGAAATATACAATACTTATTTTCCAACCCGCGCCTGTTTCCCATCTAAAAAAGCAAAAAAAAAAGAGTGGATTACGTCAAGCTTATTGAAAAAAATTCGGAAGAAAAATCAAATGTACAAAAAATTTGTTGAACAGCGTAATCAAGAACTATTTTCGCAGTTTAATCTCTACAGAAATAAACTCAACAAAGAATTACAACAGGCAAGAGATGCGTACTATTACGCTCTGTTTGAATCCTGTCAAGATGACGTGAAAAAAATATGGACACAAATAAATACGGTAGTTTTGCAGTCGAACAATGTCATAGCTCCCGTTGAGATCGTTGTTGATGGAGCTAGCGTCACGGGCAAAGACATGTGTGATGCCTTCAACGATCATTTTGTTAGCCGCAGGACTGAATGTGCTGCACCGCCAAATGAAAATTCCTATTTCTATAACAGTAATTGCATGTTTATTAACCCAGTGACATGCTCAGAAGTTTATTCTGTTTTTATGAATATGAAAAATTCTCAAAGCCGGGATGCAGATGACGTCCAGATAAAGCCGGTGCACTACGTCCTTGATATATATGAACCCCAATACTTACAGACATCTTTAACCTCTGCCTTAATTCAGGCGTTTTTCCCACCGAAATGCAAAAGGCAAAAGTGTCCGCCCTCTTTAAAAAGGGAGACAGGAGATGTGCGTCAAACTATCGACCCGTGTCAATATTGCCGGTATTTTCTAAAAGGCTTGAAAAAATAATTCAGATTCGGATGTCATCAGTTTGTAAAACTCATAAATTAGTTTCTGACGATCAATACGGCTTTGTAACACACAAATCTACGGAATTAGCACTACTTCAATAAAAAGAATACGTATTACGCTCCTTTGAAGAAAAGAAAGTTGTTCTAGGCGTGTTCATAGATTTTTCTCAGGCATTCGATTGCATTAATGACAACATACTTTTATCGAAAATGATAGGTATGGCTTCCGCGGTTGTGTTCACCCTTTACTCGCCTCTTACTTAGCCAGTCGCACACAGTATGTTTGTATTGATACCCACAAATCATCTGTTAAGCGTATAATAGCTGGAGTTCCACAGGGGAGTATATTAGGACCTTTGTTGTTTAATTTTTATATTAATGATATTTTAAGCTTATGTTAACAAGCTAAGTGCATTTTGTATGCCGATGTTATGACCATACTTTTTTCGTTGGACTCGTCTGACCACATCGGAAGGGAAACTAACGCTGTCTTGCAGTCTATTCAATGCTGGTCAATTGCTAATCGATTAAAAATAAACGCAAACAAGTCTAAAGCTATACTGTTTCGACCCCGAAATAAACGAATCATTGTTCCGCAGTATGTTAAATTTGGTTCTGACTCAATAGAAATCGTGGAATGCCTGAAGGTATTAGGAGTGTACTTCAGTAGTCACCTTACTTGGGATGACCACGTTAATTCTGTAATGATAAAATTGTCTCGCATTGCAGGAATTCTTAGCAAACACCGCCACTTAATTCCACTTAAAGTTCAGTTACTGCTATATAAATCTTTGTTTGAATCTTATCTAAATTACGCTCAGCTAATTTGGAAAACTACTACGCTTGCTAATAAAAATAGACTCAATTTACTGCAAAAAAAAATCCTTGCGTTCCATTTGGAATTTGAGCTTCTCGGCCCACACTGGTCATTTATTTCAGAAATATTGCATTACAAAAATTTTCGATCTTTATAATGTAACATTAGCTCTTAGCTTCAAGAAAGAACTAGCGAAAAATTGCAAAAATTTATCTGAGCTGGCCTGCCTTTGCCCGAATGCGCCTGTATACACTTGCAGAAACACTTAACGATGGCACGTGCCCACCTTTCGTGCATCATACGGTATGCAAACATTATCTAATACTTTGCCGCGCTTACTGAACAAACTGGAAGCAAGAAACATAGATATGACGCGTACTTCCAAAAAGAAAGCGCGTAGATTGATAGCGTCATCCTGGTAGTTTTTTTTTTTTACGTCGCCCATTTTGTTATCGCCAAGTGTCTATCGATTCTGCCTTGCGGACCTTCGTTACAGACCTTCTTTTTACTCCTTCTCTTTGCTACTCAAATTTTTCGCGCCTTCAACAACAAACATTACTTTTTTTCCTGTGTGTACTGTTTTATTGCATTATGCATCCAATTTTTCGGGCCTTCAATTACTAGCCGTTGGTTTTCCTATGTGTAACATTTTAGTGCATATGCATCTCAGTGTGAGTGATACCCTGATTGGTGTAACCATTTTTTTAAGCACTTATTCCTGTTCAGTTGTGTACAGTAGCTCATAAGAATACTTTTTATTATCAGTCTTTCTTTTACCGGTGCATCTTTTTTTTTTCGTAAATTGACACTATTTGCAGTTTTGTATGATTCAGTATTGCCTCGTCGTTTCTCTTTTTCTTGTTTGTAGCGTTCCCATGTTTTTCGAATACAATATCGTTTCTTTGTTTAGTTGTTAGCGTGCATATATTTTTTTTACTTGCATATTTTTGTTATCGCAATAGAATTGCGATACTTTGGTGTGTTGTGTCTATTACTGTAAATTTCTACAGCATGCATATCTGCCGTCTGCTGCTGACGTTTGAATTGGGCTGACGGGCCTGTCAAGCTGCTTGTATGCAGCTTTTGTCGTCAGCCTTTCAATGTATTCACGATATATAAAGAATACCTCACCTCAAATATTATTATTATTATATTATTATTATTATTATTATTATATTATTATTATTATTATTATTATTATTATTATTATTATTATTATATTATTATTATTATTATTATTATTACAGTGCAGGTGTCACCTGGGGTTTAACCCAATTGTATACTAAAGCTTTATCAACTGAAGTTGTGTTATGTAGCAATGGCCAGGACTACCATCCTCACGATCGCAAGTGTTACGTATCAGCTTACCGCTTCTGATGTTGCTAATACCGAAGTTACTTTTCACATTGTTACGCAACTGAAAACGACTGGTTATGTATACCACATGCGACTGCTCAACATATATCTCTTCATACAGCGCTTGTGCATATTGCCACCTGGTGTTCTGTGCCAGTGAACAGTGGGTCAGTGTCTGTGCCAGTGAACGAGGAAGACGAAGACGAGCAACCCGTGCCAGCGGAGACGTCCTTCTTTGTCTCTGAGATTTTGGACAGTCGCGTCCCTTATACGTTCGTTCGAGCTCTTAGCGCGTGACAACTGGTGGAGGTGCGGGTACCCTATGCACCGAACCCCTCCCAGTACCGAGCTCCAGCCTCATACCGGTGGGTACGCCTGTTCACCGTGCTAGCCGCAGGATCCGTGGACTGGACCTGAGTTCAGACTTCCTCTCAGAAGGGGATGACGGCCCCAACTATTCAGGCAGCAGCGTCCCAAGCGGCTCCAACACAGCCGGTATGGAAGGCGCAACGCCATTGCAATATACACTGTATCAAACCACGAACGCCGAATCCTTTCATGGTGCTGTCCATGAGGGCGTTGAAGATTGGCTAGACCACTTATGACTTCGTTGCCGCTCATAACATGTGGGATGACACAGACAAGCTCGACATGTCTACTTCAGGTTTGAATGACGGGGCACGTGTTTGGTACGAAAACCGGGCAGGTGTGTTCCCGTCATGGGTGGACTTCAAACGCCGGCTTCTCGAAACGTATGCAAGTCCCGATCGCCGAGAGC